TAGGAAAAAAATCATTTTAAATTGGATTTTTATGCATTTTGTTCCCAGCAATTTGTCACAACAACAGATTTGTTCTCATTTGTTTGTTTGAATTCATACAAAATACCAAAAATTAAACATTAAATAGGATTTTAGCATCAACAAAGTAATTCCAATGGAGCTACTAGCTGAAAACTTGACAATCAACCGAATAATGATGCATGCCTCAGATTTTGTGTCACATCTTTAATATTGTTGCTTAAAGAAAGACGTGACTTACAGATACTGTATAGATCTGACATGTCTTTTATTCTCCACAAGTCCACTTTCTTCCTTTTTTAAGCACACACTGCACAATATGCTGTTATGGTAAGGTGCAAAAACTGGGCAGAAAACGAGTTTAAAAAACAGCAAACATCCAAATACAACTTTAAAAAGGCCTTCAGAAAGTCTTAAGAACTACTGATTAGGATCACTTTAAAAGATTCAAGAAGGTTTGCCTTCTTGGAAGAAAAAATAAAAGACAAGAAAAGAGGGGAGTGTTGAACTTGAGCACAGTATTTATCACAGGTTCTGTGATGGGAGTAGGTGTGAATGCTTTAGACACACAACACCTATCAGCTTAAAAAAGAAAACATGTGAGAAATGTAACATCATCTGAAAAACAAAATTAAAAATGTCCCCTAAAGAAAAGCTGAAAACAGGGTCAGTGTCCCCAGGTCCTGGTCATCATCATCATCATCCTCATCATTTTCACTATCATCACTCCCCTGCTGCTTTCCACATGGAAGAAAGTTGTATTATTGACTGTTTCTGTCTCACACAAGTGTCGAATATTTGGCTGCAGGCAGCTGTTGAGTCATTCATGTATCTGGTGGAGTGAAGTAGAGGGGTTCAGATAAAACCTTCAGTGAAGAAGGAAACATGTGCGTCAAAGAAGACTCATACAATAAGTCAGACTGACAACTAATTCCCCCTCTCGCCAATGATGATTCATAAGAACTCACAAATTGTTTAACAGAAAATTTTTAAGGGGAGCAATTTATAAGATTCTGCTGTCCACAGTTGGTCAGGATTAATAAATCAAATGTATTAGATATAAAAATAGGGAGCACAAGCCAGTGTACTGTATCTCTTGTGCCGGTCCCAAACCTGGATAAATGGTGAAGGTTGTGTCAGGAAGAGCATCTGATGTAAAACACTTTTGCCAAAACAAACATGCAAGTTTGTCTAAGTGATACCATGCTGGATCAATCGAGGCCCAGGTTAACTACGACCTCTACCAGTGCTGTTGACAAACAGACTGCCAACGCAAATTGTGCTACTGTTATTCAAAGACCACGAGGACGGAACATGCCAGGAGACAGAGGACAAAAAGGAAACTCAAATGTAGGACTGAAGAAAGCAACTCTAACTTGCCTAGGGTCAATGATAGGTGAAGGAAGAGCACTGGCTGACATGATGCAGAGAAGGAAGGTAGATATTTTGTGTGAGAGACCAAATGTAAGGGTAGAAAGGTGTACGGGTAGGATTTAAACAGTGTGGATAGGAAGAGAAAGGATGTAGGGGTGGTACTGAAGGGGGAGTTTGCAAGGAATGTATAGCCACTTTACCATTGACTGTGTGACTCCACTCGGCTCTTGTCTGATCAGTTCTCAGGTGTAGGTGATTTGCTACTGTGACTTGTTTTCCTACTCTGTGGGTGGGATTGTCAATGCAAAGTGCGTAGTATCGTAACACATCACTGTGTTCAAGCCACCGCCCTTTGTGTTCCTTAATCGCACTAAAATCTGACTTTAATTTCTTTAGCTTATCTTGGCACTGCTTTTAAGTCTGGGTGTAGCCATGCTGCACCATCATCTCTGATATCTTTCTGTAAATGCACCAATTTCTTGTGGTGTCATCCGTCGACACAATGAGGAAGTGGCGGTTCAGAGGAAGCTTGCATTTTTGTTGGGTGGGTCATCAAGTGACATAGCTTCTCTGGCCAATCAACAACTGCTGTCTGCTTATGTCAAAATAGACACCTCGGAGAAATTTGCTTGGAACCACAAACAAGGTGGTCCTGAAAACCGGGCTGAGTTGGGGTGGGTACCAGTAGTATGCAGATCCATAACTGGTACAGTATTGTGCAGAACCAGTGAGAGTTGACAGTGGCAATGTGCCATATTAGAGGTGAAAAGAGAATATGATAGGGTTATGCGCCACAGGTTGGGTGTGTAGTAGGAGAAAGAAATATTGGAATAATTTAGATGAAGTGATAGAAAGTACTCTCAGGGAGGATAAAGTTGTGATTGGAGCAGCTCTGAATGGACATGTAGAATGAACCTTAGATGAAAAAGGGATGAGCAGGTTTGGTATAAAGGAAAGGAACCAGGAAGGACAGATGGTGGATTGTGCCAAGAGGATGGAAATGGCATCCTCTCAAAAAAGGAAGGGACATAGAGTGACCTGTATGAGTGGAGGAAGGAGTACCCAGGTAGACTACAGTCTCTGTAGAAAGGTAAATGGACTGCACTTATAGCGCTTTTCTATCTTATCAAGATATTCAAAGCTCTTTACACTACAATCTGTGCCCTCATTCATCCATTACTACAACACTCTACTATTTCTGGGGTTCAGTGTTTTGCCCAGGGACGCTTGGGCAATCGGCATGTGACTGCTGGTGGAATCAAACCCCCAACTCTTGTGTTGGAGGATGACTGTTCTAACCACTCAGCCACAGCCGCCCCTGTAGTAGAGGTAACCTGCGCAAGATTGGGAACTATAAGATTGTGGCAGGGGAGAGCATAGCCTGACATCATCGGATAGTTGTGTGTAGATTGACTGATGTGGTGACGAAGAGGAAAAACGTAAAATCCGAGAAGACGAAATGGGGATAGTTGAGGAAGAAAGAATGTTGTGAGGAGGTCACTGATGAGCTGGTAAAGGTGGTAAGGCTACAACAGCAGCAGTGAGGGAGACAGGAAGGAAAGTTAGTCAAGAAGAAATGGGACAATGAGGACTGACATGGGGAGACAGTAATATAAGGTGATGCAACATAGAGCAAAGAAGGAAGTTGCAAAGGCGTATGATGAGCTATACAAGAGGCTGAACACTTAAAAGAGCGAGACAGAGCGAGTGAGAGAGATCAACTGGAGAGTGGAGACCGAGGGATCAGGCTGGAAAGGATGTGCAGCAGGTTAGGCTTGTTAAAGATAGAAATGGCAATGTTCTAACAAGAGAGGAGAGTATGAGTGTGACGGGAAAATGAAAGGAACACTTTGAAGAATGTAATGAATAAAGAAAATTAAATGGATAAAGGAGGAACTGTGGACCAGGAAGTGGCCAATATTAGTGAGGGTGAAGTTTAGAAAAGCTTTGACGAGGATAAAGAAGTGATCTTCTTCTTCCTTGCTTTTTTAGACAATGTGCAAAGATGAACTCTTATTTTATAAAAAAATGGGACTTTTGATATGAATAAACAGCATGGTGCAAAATCATGTGTTACCCTGGTTCTCAAACTGTGGTGTCAGATATCTACTGTAGAGCGGAAATAAACAATATAAATGTCATAATCTAAACCGTAATGTGAAGATGAAAAAGTAGTTTGTCATAAAGAGTCTAATTTTAGTCCTGGCTTTAAAAGAAATTCTCTGCTGAGGATAAGTGTGTTTGAAGAATATTACAAAAAAACTCTGTTGTGACTTAAACAATCAGATTTTGTTACCCAAAGAGCATATTTGCAGGATTTGATAAGAACAAATGGTGCAACCCGTGTCCAAACTCCAATTTTGCATTCAGTTGTTGTGAGGCAGAGAGACTGCAGTGCATGTGGTGCTGATCTCTGCAACAAACACGTGAAAGCAGCTGCACACTTCTACTGCGGTAATGGTTAGAGGTTTAGATATGATCAGATTCATACGATCAGATAAGCTTGTAAACTTGTGAGTTTGTACTGCTGCTTTTGGAACAATGATATTTACAAAGATGGACACATTAAAATTAATAACACATATATTATAAAGCATTTTTGTGTTCATTTACCTAAAATAGTGTTCAAAATTCACATCCTGACCATTTGACCTATCTTCAAATTATGTTACAATTATTTTTTTCAAAATACTTAGAAAAGTATTGACTTGACACAAAATAACTCTGTTAGTGTGGAGTGCTTTTGTGTGTGCACAAACTGTAATGTGTCATGCATGTGCTCACCTCTTACACATGCACACTCAACCTGTGTGACAAGTGTGCTCAACTCCAGTTCTTCGTCTCCCCAGCAGGTAAGACGCTTCTGATGTTTTCTCTGGTTCAGGAGCGGCTGGACTTGAGGAATGAGACATTTGTAGCTCACGTTTGGGAATTAATCAGCTGATTAGGGTTTGACACAGGAGTTTACAATATTGAACCTCTTCACATAATTCTAATTTTCTGAGACAATGAATTTTGGTTTGTCATTATTTGTGATCCACAATCAACAAAATAACAAAAAATAAATAGAGGCTTGAAATATTTCACTCTATGTGTAACGAATCTATAAGAGTTTCACTTTCTGAAATGATTGACGAGAAGAATATAACTTTTCCACAAAATTCTAATTTATTTAGGTGCACCTGAGTGTGGCAGGCTGTTTTACCATTTAATCAAATCTGTTGACGTTTTTAGCTTTTAATAATATAATTGCTCATGGACACCACACATCTGTATTTAATGCTCATACATAAATATAATAATAATAAATGTGGTGCTACTGGTCAGAGAGAGAGAAATGACCTCTGGCTCAGTTTAAAAATATATTCATAAATGACTTTTTAGCTGTTTAAAGGTGATTACTAATACTGGAAGAGAAACTGTGGCCACAAGACAACCCACGATTTCCTTTCACATCGTGTAGGCCAAGTAACTGGAACAAAGTTTAGGTGGAGAGGGGTGGGATGTGGTGTTTTGATGGTAGTCTGTACCCCCCACATCGGTCATGTATAAAAGCTGGAACAGCTCTCAACACACTTCAGTTCACTCTCTAAGTTCTTCAACCAGCGATGTCCTCCTCACTTCTCCTCCTGTGCATCCTGGTCACATGTTCAGGTGAGGCTGTGGCCCCTAACACTCTGTTTTAATCCCTTATGCTAGAATATTAATCCTATTTGTATCACTCGTTTGGTTTCAGTCTGGACGGTGCAAGGGAAAAGCTTCAAGGTCAGCATTGATGATGAGGAGGCATCTTTAAAGGAAGGCTTCGGAGCGGCACAAAGGGTAAAGTGACAGACGACAAAAACTAATAAAGTGTGCTCATCTTTAACATGCACTGAATGAAACAAGCGTTTGAGCACCAACAACTAAACCAACACTTTATTCTAGTTTCCAGGGGTGTGCTGGGCATGCACATGGGCTTTAAAAAAAGTGAAGAACGTGATTGGACCAAATGTCACCGCAGAGGTAAATAATAATAAAAAGTGCAATTGAGCCACATGAATTTTATAAAACGAATAACGCCACGTCTCGTTCTGCAGCAAGTGAAAGCAAAACTGAAGGCTGTCTGTGATCAGATTGGACTCCTGAAGTCAAAGTGCCACAAGTTTGTGGATTCACACCTGGGACTGCTGGTGGAGGAGCTGACCACGTCGGACGACATAAACACCATTTGTGTCAACACAGGTGCATGCAGGTGAGAACTGTGAATGTGGGGTTTAACGTTTAAATGTACAATTTAGGTTAAAACTAATGTAAAATGGGTTTATCTGCAACTTTTTACTCATTTATGCATTTTCATATTGTGATGTTTGCTATATTTAGGTTATCAATTGTTTCTCTTTGATTTTTAGGTCAGAGGCGTTTGAACTGCTCTTCTCTCCAAACAAAGAGCGTCACGTTGAGATTAACGAACTGCCCTGACATCAGCACAGAGACGAATATCTGAGCTTTTTTTTTATTTGCTCATAAAAATGAACTGTTGTTGTGCAGCTGTGAAGGACTATTTAACCATCGGCAATTTAAAATGTGGAATCAATAAAGAATAATCATTCCCAGCTTGTTTCTCGTTAACTTTTTTAAATTTCTATTTCTGTATTTGTGAGCTAACAGCTAAAATCTAACCCCGTGCTTCCATTATGCTTTAAATAAACTTTACAGATCAATCGCTGGTCTTCAAAGTCTTTTTCTGTCTTTAATTATTTAGAAAAGGCTGTTTATTCAGACTAATTACAGAAATATGTTGATTCATATACTAAAGACTATAATAATTGTGTTGGTTTGTATACCAGAAGATCTCATGAACCACTGAAGACATTTTTATTAAAAAATAAATTATAATTATAATTATAGATGATGATCAGCAGCTCATTAACTTTCTGGAGTCAACCCAATTAAGGACGGCAAACTAACTTTACAAAAACAGTCAATTTTACAGATATTAACAGACCTAAAAAAACAAATAGTCCTGTGAACAAAGGTCAGAAACTAAATTAAAACCCTTTAATTGTTTCTTTTTATTCAAATCTAACTTATTCAGTGGGTTTACAACAAAAAACAAGGTTCGTGCACATTTACAGGCGGATGAAATAAAATCCACAAGTTATTTACAGAGGAAGCTAAACTCTTTCATTTTGTGTTTCGTTTCAAACGAACAGCACCTTCAGTATAAAAGTTGTCTCCGAACTGTCAGTGAGGAAATAAAAGCTGCTCCTCCATCACGAGGAGGCGGCAGAGCAGAGCAGGAACTTGGCCTTTTGGTTCAGGAAGTGTCCGTCTGAGGGACTCGTGTCCCAGCTCTGCTTCAAGGCGTCTCGGTCCACTTTGTTCAGGCTCTGTGAGCAAAGACGGAGGTCCTTGACCAGCTCTGACAAACCGTCCAGTGCTCCATGGTCCCAAGGGCCTGACACCTGACAACCTGATGATGAAACAGAAAAATAGACTGTTTAATGGGGCGTTTCTGCTGCTGTTTCATTTACTAAACATATTTAGTGTCCAAACCTTGTCATTTCAAAATTTACCAAAGGTTAAAATCACTATTTATGATTTGGAAAAAAGCTACAACTACTGTATTTTTCGCCGTAAGTCACAGGTTTTTGCATAAATTTGCAAGTTCTGCGACTTATTTTTGTTTTTTTTCTCTTCATATTTACAACCCAATTTTTTGGCTGAGATGTGATGATTTCATTCATTCTGACATGAAAAACACTGAACACTACCATTTTCAGCCGCTAGAGGGCGCTCAACTAATATGGCAAGCCAAGTGTCTCATTAATAGGTAAAAGTGGTTATTAATGAGACACTTGGCTTGCCATACAAAGCCACATTCGTCTCGCTCCAGAACTCGTGGAGCAAACGTCAAATCAGCTGCATTTCGCCGCCCAGGTGAAATGCAGCTGATTTGGCCATTAAAGTGCATTTATTAAGTAAAAGTTAAACTGAGACACACCTTTGATATAATTTCGAGCAAACAAATAATTGTTTTTAAGTGTTACTCTTGTTAAAGTCCTCCTGTGCACGCTCCAGATGGCGGCCAATCAATTTTTGGCCCATGTTTCCGGGTGGTCAGCGGTGACGCGTAATATTAACCTTTATTTAACCAGGCAAATCCCAGAGATCACAGATCTCTTGCAAGGGAGGCCTGGGACTTATAGATGCGACTTATATGATGAAGCGATGTACTTATGTATTTTTCCACTTTATTAGACATTTATGGACTGATGCGACATACGGTGGTGCAACGTGTACGGCAGCAAGTACGGTAATAACATCTTGTAAAGTGTTTGAGCAAAAGCAGAATTATGGAGTAATATAATTTTTTCTTTATATTTTACATATAATAATAGAATACAAAAACTGACTTTTAAACCAAAGCCAATATTACTTTTAACTTTAACTGAAATAAAACATTTAATAATCTAAAATGTAAAAACCATAAAACAGCAACGGATTTGATAAAAAAAAATTTTTTTTTTAAATCATAGACATAAAAATGAACAATTTTTCAGCTCGTCCTTCAAGTTGTAACAGACTTAGAAGATGTTAACGTGTTTATCATATTATATATTTTTAACTTTATCTTTCGGTTAGTAAAAAGCCAAATTAAACTATAATAACAAAAGCGAAATTGATTTTTTTTTTTTAATAAATTGAAAAAACAATTAAAATTTTTTTGTTTATTAATCAGACCAATTTATTGATTAGAATTTTTTTAGACCATCCAAAATGTTTTAACTTTAATATAAATTCTGCACGCATTTGCTTATAATAAGAAAATAGAAAAAAACCTGGAGGAAAACGTAAAAAAAATATGTGAGCATGCATTTAAATGAAGATCTGTTTAGAGCATTGTCATTATCTGATGTCTAAACCAGATGTTCTATCTGTACATGCTAAACGATGCATACCCTGAAAGTTTAGAAGAGTCAGCGATCGGGAAGCTTCTCTCACGGACATCAAGATGCTTTGGAGTCCCACCGAGGTCACAGACGGGTTTCCTGACAGGTCCAGACTCACCAGAGTCGAACAGAAAGGCAGGCACCTGAGACAGAATAAAAAAAAAACAGCTGCAGAAACTAACAGGAGAAAACGGGCAGGTTTTACAAATAAAATGACAAAAATAATGATTTTGGTGGTGGCACAACTCAAAATGAGATGTTACGATGTCATGACTCGGTTTCTTCATATATCTTTAGGTAAATGATAATAAAAAGCCTGCGGCCGAGCCAAGATCTTTGCAACAACAACGTGATGGAAAGAAAATCCAAACCTGGACAAGACGGTGACGCTGCTGTCCGTCAGTCCGTTTGCTGCCAGACTCAGGTGCACCAAAGAACACTCCTCCTACAAAACAAACAACAAGAACATCAGTTTGTAAAACAGCTGTAAACTAAGTGGACACCACTGAAGGTGAAGGTGAAGGTGTGCACCTGCGACAAGACTTTGGTGAGGTGTTCCAGCGCCAGCTGATCAACAGGACCCCTCCGTACGGCGGACAGGTCCAGGTGCGTGAGAGCGTGGAGGGGCAGGGTTTTCAAGACCAGCTCAAAACCAGTGGAGCCCAGTGCATTGTGGGATAGGGACACTGATTTCAGGTGGTCCAGTCCTGGGAGAGCCAACAGTACTTTGAATGTAAATCCACTACTTCTGAATACATTAAACATTTGAGAAATGAGACGCTTCACCTCCACTCGCTCCATTTTTAACCAACAGACAACTAAAAAATGTTGGAGATGCTGCCGCACCTTTTTTAAAGTTTTCTTAACTTGGACACCAACATGCGTCAAACAAAAAGAAAAACTAAACACCTGTCAGAGCGTTGGCAAGCAGCAGGCGATGCTGCTGAAGGAACCGAGCCGTGAGCCCACAGGCCTGCAGGGACAGCTTGGACAGCAGAGGACAGCAGGACAGCAGACAGGACAGAGACTCGGAGACGGCGTCCCCCAGAGGGTTCATACTGATGTCCAGCTCCTCCAAGCACTACGAGACAAAAACCACCACATATATTCAATTTGGATTTACTTTTACAAACTCATTTGTGATACAGCATCGTCTCTAGATCTCATTTATGAGACTTCCAGGTCTAACAGGAAAGTGTGCCACGTGTTTGGTTTGACACACTGACAGAACATGCATGTGTGAACTACTCACACAAAAACAAATATAAAAGGTGTCAAAAGAACAAAAAGTGTTTTTTTTATTTAAATGATGTGTTTTTTCTAATGAAACCACTTCACAGTCTGGTGTGACCACAACAAGAATTCTGCATCACCGCGACTCATCAGTTCAACTAAACGTTGCACATTCTGGATAAATAATGTTCTTTAAATACCGTGTTTGGTGCCGTACAAGTCGCATCAGTCCAAAAATGTCTAATAATGTGAGAAAAACCATAAATAAGTTGCTTCGCCATATATAAGTCACATCTACACCGCCTGGCCAAAATTTAAAAACAGTCGCCACCTGGATTTAACTAAGCAAATAGGTACAAGTCTCCTATTGGATAATTACTGCATGGATTATCTTTCAGCTGGCAACAAGTTATTTAACATTAACTGGTGCAATGTATAACCTTAAGAAAACCACTAATCAGTGAGGCTAACTGGAAAAAAAAGGCTTCAGTTTGCTAGGGAGCATAAAGATTGGACTGTGGAGCAATGGAAGAAGGTCATGTGGTCTGATGAGTCCAGATTGACCCTGTTCCAGAGTGATGGGTGCATCAGGGTAAGAAGAGAGGCAGGTGAAGTGATGCACCCATCATGCCTAGTGTCTACTGTACAAGCCTGTGGGGGCAGTCTATGATCTGGGGTTACTGCAGTTGGTCAGGTCCAGGTTCAACAACAGCACGTGCTCAAAGAATGAGGTCAGCTGACCTGAATATACAGAATGACCAGGTTATTCCATCAATGGATTTTTTTTTCTTCCCTCATGGATCGGGCATATTCCAAGATGACAATCCCAGGATTCATCAGGCTCGAATTGTGAAAGAGTGGTTCTGGGAGCATGAGACATCATTTTCACACATGGATTGGCCACCACAGAGTCCAGACCTTAACCCCACTGAGAATCTTTGGGATGTGTTGGAGAAGGCTTTGCACAGTGGTCAGAATCTGCCATCATCAACGTAAGAAAAATTAATACAACACTGGATGGAAATAGATCTTGTGACATTGCAGAAGCTTATCGAAACAACGCCACAGTGAATGCATGATGTAATCAAAGATAAAGGCGGTCCAACGAACTATTAGTGTGACCTTTTTTTGGTGGCAACATTTTTTTTGGGGGGTCAGGCAGTGTATTATGAATCACCGCTGACCACCTGGAAACGTGGGCCACCTAAAAACAATTATTTGTTTGCTCGACATTATAGTAAAGGTGTGCCTCAGTTGAACTTTTCCTTCATAAATGCACTTTAATGGTCAAATCAGCTGCACTTCTCCTGGGCGTTGCGGCGAAATGCAGCTGATTTGACGTTTGCTCCAGGAGTTCTGGAGCGAGACGAAGGTGGTTCTAGGGCAACCAAAGTGTCTCATTAACAGCCATTTTACCTATTAATGAGACACTTGGCTTGCCATATTGCTCGAGGACCCGCTAGCAGCTGCAAATGGTAATGTTTAATATTTTCTATGTCAGAATGAATGAAATCGTCAGATCTCAGCCAAAAATAGGGTTATAAATATGGGATAAAAACATATACTAGTCGCTTCAGTGTACAAGTCGCAGGACTTGTAAATTTATGCAAAAAGGTGCGACTTATACGCCGGCAAATACGATGCTCTGAATCCAAGCGGTGAGGGAAAAATAACAGCAAAAGCCAAAAATGGATAGAAAGTGGTGATTCACCGGGAATGGACGTCTCTGTCCCTTTAGAGCATCCACAGCCTTCTCCAGACCGTCCCCCGTGATGGAGTTGGCAGAAACATCCAGCAGCCGAAGTCTAGGCATGGTGATCGCCGTGGCGACCAGCTCAGGGAAAAGGTCATCTGGGAGCCGGTTGCCGGAGACGCGCAGCTCGGTGAGGTTGGCCTGAAGTTTGAGGGCGCGGAGGAGCGGGTTGAGGGAGGAGGGGGCCAAACTGAGGCTGCACACCGCCACAGACGAGCTCCCGTCCTGGACCTCGCACAGCCGGGTGACACGCTTGTTCTCGTCTGCGCGGAGACACAGGCACACCCCGTTACACGAGCAACAAGATGGAAAACTGTGCCAGTTTGTTGAGGTGCTCACCCACAGCCAGACTCTGACACGCCTTCTTGTAGCGCTCAGGGAGAGGGGGCAGATCCCAGGAGCAAACTTCAGCCAGAACCTGGAACACAAAACAAAATCAAGAAAAACAGCAAATGTCCGACAAAACCAGCACCGTTTTTTTTTGGAAGCAGTGCTTTAATAGAATGTAGAGGCCTCTCAGGTCATGGTCAGACCTCACCTCTTCATTGGTGTGCAGCACAGACAGCAGCAGGTCCTGCGGAGACAGCAGAGCTCCTTCCTTCTGCAGCGAGAGACGAGGCAGGAGGCCACACTTCTGGTAGTAACGCTGAGCTGCCTGCTCACACAGCCATGACACCGTGCACGAGTCCGCCTCACTACAACACGACACCAACAGACACAAGCTGCTAACACACCTGCACAGGTTAGCCAGAGTGCGAGTTTCAGAGAAGCCATCCACCAACCTCTGTGGAACCGGGATGAGGAACACATCTTCCTGCACTCTGACTCTTATCCTGATCGGTGCAGGAAGAGACGACGGCATGGGAGCAACTGGAGCCTGAGCTGAAGGCTACAACTACAAAACGTTAGCAATGTCTCTTTTAAACAACACTCCATTTGTAACACGATAAAACCTTCCAACCTGAAAGTGTCTCTGCGGAGGCGCATCAGGCCTCGTGTCGTCGTCATCTGTAACGGTGGGACTGTGTGACCTGCTGACCTCTCGCCTCCCTAACCTCACCATGCCTGGCGCCTGAGTGATTTTCACCTGATGAGGCTTCAGAGAGCCGTTCTTCCTCTGAGAGAAACTCCCACTGAACGAGGCCGTACAGCTCACTGCAGACCCTTGAAAAAATAGCGTTTTAAAGAAGTTAAATAAAGACAGAATGCAAAATAAAAGATTAAAATCATCACCTCTGCAGGACGTGTCTGTGCTGAACTGCTTGTTTTGACTTCTTGCAGCAAAACGTGAAGCAGTCTCCTCCCCCTGGCATTTATTATTTTCAACTCGACTCCTCTTTTTCTTCGGCTGCATCTCCCCCAAATCATCGTCCAACCAGTCGTCAGCCAGATACTGGTCCTCTGGAACCAGAGCAGAGTTGCTGCTGGCTGAAGCAGCAGGGGTGCTGGAGAACTGGGGCTGGGAGGAACCCTGGAGACGGGACTTGGCGCTGCCTAAGCTGCGAATGGCATCGTGGTACTCGTCTCGTACGAACACAGAAGTTGAGGGGGGCTCCCGGGTGCTTTCTCGGCTCGAGCTGGGGGCTGCAGCAGGTTCCTTGGTTTGGGGAATGTCCCTTTGACTCGGGGCTGATGGGAAAGCACGTCGAGGACGGACAGGATGAAGAGGACTGACCGGCGGGTCAGAGTCACTCTCATCTGAGCTGCTGTTAGTCTGAAACACAGACGAGCTTCACTGAATCCAACTGAAATCACGTCAGTATAGTCATTAGGATGATTTATACACACGCAGCACTTTTGAAACATTACCCCGTACAGAACAGCAGCTGACGCTCCTCTAGCTCTGTGCCTCTGTGAGGAGACGTTTCTATCCCAGCGTTTGGGGCTGGGGGATTTCCTTCGTGAGCCCCCACCGTCTCTGGGCCACTCTTGGCTGAAGGAACAGCTCCCTCGGGTGGCCGACAGCGTCTCTGAGTTCTCGGCGTCAAACAGCTGGCTGTCCTGCAGGGCATCGAAAGGCTTGGCTGGGGCTGGAGCAGCAGGAACTGCCGTAGGAGAGAAGCAAACAGTGTGTCACGACAGAGACAAAAGCACGGCTGCCACGACGTAACCATGTGAAAACCTCACCTCCTCCTGCTAGAGCCCTCCTCAGCAGCTTCTCCGTGATAACACACTCCTGTCTGGTGTCCTCGTCCAGCTCTCTGCTGTACGTCCTCTGCCACTGACGCAGGGTGTCCATGGGCGTCTCACCCTGACAGGATGGACACAGGACAAGACTGGTCAGAGAAAAGCCCAAAATCTTTAGCTCAGTATCTGTACAAACTAAAATTTAACCTTTTGTGTTTTATAATGTCAACTGGCTGTGGTGGTCATCGTGAACTGGATTGACTCCAAAAGTTCATTAGGTACAGATGTCCGTCGAGTGATCGCTTTCTGGAAGTTTTATTTAAGTCTTTCTAGCGGTTCATGGGATATATTGCTAACAGACAAACAGGGGCTCACTGCAAGAGTTGATGCTAAAGTTTTAAACAAAGACCACATGAGATCCATTAGCTGTACAAGCATTATGTATTCAAGGTTGTTTATTGTCATTCACATCACATGTGGTACATAAGGTGGAACAAAATGGTGTCCCCAAGGTCCCAGTTACAGACAAAAATAGAAAAAATATAAAGTATAAAAAGAAACAGTATATCTAAGGATATATAAGGGTTGGGAATCAATGTCAGCTACTACCACACCAAAGTTTAGTCTAATAGCTGTACAAGTGTCTGAGTGATAGACTTTTTACGTTGACTAAGTTTGATTAGCTGTGGAGGTCGTCTTCAGTGGGGTTAACTCCAGAAGTTTATAATCTGTGGATGCACATGCAGTGATTACAATCTGAGTTTTATTAAAATACATCCAATGGCTCAAAATATATTTTGCTAAAAGACAAACATAGAAAAAAAATATAAATGCACAGATGTTTAATGGGGAAAACATCAGGTACATTAGAACCAAGAGTTAATAATTGTGGCTTTTTTGTGTTTTGTAAAGTCAAACTGGTCCAACTCAGTGTCATACAAAACAAAAAAAAAACACGTAGCTTTTAGAGAAATGTGAATTCTTCAGGTTTGGCTGCATTTGCTGGTTTATAAAAAATACCAGAGCAAATCTCTTCGCGAGGAGAAACTGTAAACCAGTTCCAAATAAAAAACACTAAGTTTTCTCTTTCAGCTCAGAAGCCACTTCAAGAGTTCAAGCTTTGAAAATGTAGCCTTAGTTACAGAAAATAATATTTACTGCACTGTAATACAGCTACAATGTGCTACAGTTTCCATGGAGACGGTTCAGTTGTAATCATGCTTGGCCGAACAACTTAAGTATTAATATTTCACACACGCAGCGCAGATCATCTTCAAGAAGTGGCAGAACGTACAAAAAATCTTCCATTTTTTATAAACTAAACCGAATGAAAACATGAAACCTTCAAATGTCATTCCTGCCCACAACAGCCTTATAATCCGACGTTCTTCTTAGTTTCTTCCTTTCAAGCAGTAAAACACTGAAAAAAATCTAAATAGCATCATCAATATAGATAAAACTGTAGCACAATAAATAATTACACAGCTGCAGAAAAAATTCTGAGTACAAACGATAAGAAAAATCATAATCGGAGTGGGTCAAACTAGCAGAGACGCTCTCAGTCTGAAAAAAAAAAAGAGTCTGTAACGTGATATTTGTGTAAAAATAGAGAATTACAGAATAGTCACATCAAAAATCCAGATGTGAGTCTGATTAAAAGGCTGCACTCAGATTTTTAGGACTCAAATCTGTTTATTAAAAACACAAAACATGTTTTTTTTCCCTACGACATTTCATTTTAGGTTTCTCACATTCAGTTTCAAACGTGTGCGAGAAGTAAAGAAACAGAAAAAATAAAGATTTTCATTCACCTCTTAGCTCACTCAAATAAACAACAAAAATAAAGACGAGCAACGATAAGTCCACGAGATCTCGTTAATTATTTTTATTCCGATTTTAAAATTTCTATAGCATAGCCATTTTAGCCCCATTTGCAGTTTATACGTTAAACATATGATCATTATTTTAACACACCTTGGAGTTGCGTAGTGTGACAGAAGCCCCCCGCTCCACCAACAGTCTTGCAACCTTCAAATTGCCACACGCGAGGGCGTCATGCAGGGGGGTCACCCCCTCACACAGGGGGCCACCGGGGTCGTTGACGTTAGCGCCGTGCTCCAGCAGCAAGGCGACCACATCTGCACCACAGCAGAGACACACGTTGCAGCGAAAAACAGCCGAGAGCAACAACTCCCAGGCATCGTTAAGAAAGATGGACTGAAATGTCCGTTACCATGGTGACCGTGGTTGCAGGCCTCATGGAGGGGAGTCCAGCCGCAGTAGTCCCTGGGGTTCACTGGATGACCCTGATCCAAACGCAGGTAAAACAAACACACCCGAAGATCACTCAAAATAAAAGATTCACACATGAGCTGAGAGAATCCCTCCTCGTGGGATTAACGGGATGATTTAATCTGATAAATATTCAACAAGCTCGAACAAGAAGCTCGAGTCAAACATGGTTTTATTGTATTTTTTTTTTGCTGGACTCCTGCTCACTTCACAGATGAATCCCATCTGTGTGAAGCACCGAGCAGTTGGAGCTTTTCTTCCCGTCTCACCTGTTCTACCAGATACTGGACTTGTGTCATGTTTCCATCGATGCAGGCTCTGTGGAGCGACGTCTCCCCCTTCTCGTTCCGTTTGTTCCACTGAACCAGAGACAGGCACAGGGCGACAAAAGTTCAAACATTTAAGAGTTAAAACTTTAAACATAATTAAACTAAAGAAAATGTGCGCTTTCTGTGAAATTACAGAATGAAAGCCGAGTAACTGCTAACATGTGTTAGCATGGATTTAAATGAGCAGAACAAATCTAAAATTAGCAAAGAGCAGCTAAAAGTTTTACATAGCAACGTTTTATCTAAAATATTAAAATGATTAAAATAGTTGCTAAAAACTAAAATTAGAAAAATTGTAACTAAAAGCTAAATATTGCAAAACTGTAGCTAAAACCTTAAAATAGACAAATCATAGTGAAAAGCAAAAACTGTATGAAATGAACATCATATTTAAAAAAAACAACACAAAAAAACAGATAAAAGCTAAAATAAGCAAAACTGTAGCTACAAAACTAAAATGTGCAAAACAATAAGTAAAATAGCTTTAAATAGAAAAAACTTCAGCTGAAAGCTAAATGTAGTACGATAAAGTTGTAGTTAAAAGCTAAAATTTGCAAAACCATGGCTAAAAGCTAAAAATGACTAAAAAGTCATTAAAATCTACAATTAACAAAACTATAGCTTAAAGCTAAACTAGCAAAACAATACTTGAAAGCTAAAATTTGCTAATCTGTAGCTAAAAGTTAAAATTAACAAAACTAGCTAAAACCTTAAAATAGACAAATCATAGTTAAAAGCAAAAACTGTAGCTAAAATGAGCAATATCATATTTAAAAGCTAAAATAACAAAACCATAGATAAAAACTAATACTGTATCAGCTAAACTGTAACTGAGTCTACAGTAGCAAAACTGTAGCTAAAAGTAAAATGTGCAAAGTATGGAAAATAGCTTAAAATAGTAAAACTGCAGCTGAAGGCTAAATGTAGTAAAACTGTAGTCAAAAGCTAAAAATTGCTAAAATTACTAAATTGCTAAAGGCTAAAATCAACAAAACTATAGCTTAAAGCTAAACTAGCAAAATAATACTTGAAAGCTAAATTGCAAATCTGTAGCTAAAAGTTTAAATGAACAAAACAGTAGCTAAAAGCTAAAGAAGCATAATAAGTCACAAAAGAGCTAAGAAATGAAGTAGACATCAGAAAATATTTTAGAATGAATTGAACAGATTCATTTCTATTGGATAAAATAAAATATTGAAAAATATAAAAAAGTTAAATTATTAAAACTTACAGTACATTATTTCCAAATGGACTGAACGTTTTGATAAATGAGTAAAACAGCACAAAGTTTGCAGAAGTAGCTTGATTAAAAAAAATGTACAAAAGAAACTTTAAAAAATAAGTGAAAGACAAGACTCACCCTTCCAGTCTTTCTTCTTCCTGACACCAACTTATCGTAACCCTCTAAATCATCATCTAAAAACACAACAAGAAGTTACAACAAAAGTTTATTTTCATCACAACTTGTCTCCACTTTCAGTTTCTGCAGGTAAACACTGAGCCCAGCCTGCCTGAGTCTGAGAGAACGACATCACTGTCGTCCAGAGTTTCACTGTTGTCCATCTCCTCATCTTCATCTTCCTCCCCGTCACTCCCCTCTGGATCCCAGCCCTCGGCGGCACACAGCGCCAGCAGCCTCGCCTCGGCGTCGTCGGCACTCGACGAGCCGCTGCGTCTCTGGGACGCCAGCCAGAGTCTCAGCGCTCGTTTCTGTGGGAGTCAAAGCATTTCATGTGCACCGTGTCCCCTGAGGCGACTCAGCAACAAACTTTAACTTAATATATCATTTTTTTTGTTTAGTCACGTAAAAGCCTGAGATTTAACATATAGTGTATTCTAGAATAGCTTTAAATTAATAAAAATGTTTCCATTATTAAACTCATTTAGCTGAAATACTGTAGGCCTCATGAATCACTTAGTTTGACACATTTTTTTACTTTACCTTCCTCTATATGACTTTTTTAAACAAATGTTGTGATTTATCGAGTTAGACTGTAACTCAGATTTAAGTCGTTTCAATAATTGGAGCAGCTTCTGTGTAGATGTAGTGACAATACGTGAGGGTTGGACCTATCAGAGTTAGGCCTGTCACCATAACAAATTTTGCTGGGCGATTAATTGTCTCAGAAATTATTGCTATAATATTGTTTGAAATTTGACGATAATTACTAATTATCGTCAAATTTGAGAAGAAATGTTGGTTAATTGTTGTGTGTAATACCTTTTTTTGACCACTGGATGGCAGTATAAGACCGTTTGAACTGAAGGATGGATAGTGAGGGAGTGAGCAGAGTGTCTCTTTAAGAAAAATGGGAGGGAGGCCCCTCGACGTGACATGGGCTGTCTCTCTTCGGTTCTCAAAATGGCAGAAGCTCGGTGTGATTTGAGCTGTTTAGCATAGCATTTTTCACACAAAGCTTTTAATTAAAAAAATCAGTAAACAAGTTCTCGGCTTCTTTTTGTAGAGAAAAACAACTTTTCAACCGTGAATTCTGGAACTTCGACAAGACGGAGGTTTTTCCCAAGGTCGGCCTGTTAGCTTAGCTCGTAGCTTAGCTTCTCAGCTGTTTTTAACGATCCAAAAACAAGATTTTGGATCGTTAAAACGGATTTTAAAGAGAAAGGGAGGGGTCATTTAAGAACATTGGAGTCGAGCTTTTTGTCTTCAGTAGAAAGAGAGACACGAGTAAACGATAAAGCTGATAAATGAAAATGAAGTCAATAATTTTAATTTATCATGTGATTAATTGAGTTATTGTTTATTGTGACAGACCTAATCAGAATATCATAAACAAACATTTCTAAGAACTATAATCAAGATGCAGAGATCTTTCAATGTATTTCTCACTGTTTTAGAAGCTTTAATGTTTATTGCACTAAATTAAAATGTAGCTTAAGATCAGCAGCACAACTCAGACACAGCCTCAGTATTACATGTATTATATATTATATTATGTATTATATACAGTATTTGAGCTAACGTTCAGTTGATGGTCTGCCTTCCTGTTGCCGCTTGGCTGTCAATCAACATCACACACACTAGAATAAAAAAACAAGGTGTGTGTGAGGGAAAAACTGGAAACAGCATAACTAATAAATAAATGGCAGGCGTGCAAAGAAAGGTTCGAAGCGAAGCCCGATCTGCACAAAACGACGCAGGACCCATGTGGTCGATCATGAACACCCCAGGTAACTAACAGCTGAGGACACCCCTTGACGAGAGGCGCAAAGATTTACTGTAGGCAGCTTTTAGCCCCTTATTGCAGCTCACCTGCAGTTTGGCCTCCCCAGACGCCTCTGCACAGCGAACAGCTGTACTGTAGCTGCTTTCTATGTCCTGAGAGCGACAGCCACTCTCCTCCTGAGCTGCTGCGATGTTCAGCCACGTGCTGCACTCCTGAAACAGACACAAACCAGTTATACGCGCAAGCACGTGCAACAAGGGAATGTTGATACTTTAAGCTGCTGTTTAGCACATTGTAGCTTTTAGCAAATTTTCCCCATTTCAGCTTTTACTAGTGTTGCTGCATTCAGCTTTCAGCAACTGTTTTGTTAATCTTTGCTTTTAGCTATGGTTTTGTTGCGGCTATATTAGCTTTTATCTACAGAGTTGCCGAGTTGATCTTTTTGCTATGATGTTGGTAAATTTAGCATTTAGCCTTTACTTTGCTAATTTAAGTTTGTAACTTTGCTTATGCCATTTTTTTTTTTACTTCCAGCCACTATTTGCTATTTGAGCTTTCAGCTTTGGTTTGGCATATTTTAGCTTTTGGGTATTTTAATTTCTTAGCTACAAATTTAACTACATTTAAGATTTTATCTATAGTTTTGATCATTTTAGCATTCAGCGACAATTTTGATCATTTTATCTTTTAGCTATATTTAGTTGATTATAGCTTTTAGCAAAAGTTTTGCAAATTTTAGCTTTTAGTTACGTTTTTGCCGATTTAGGCTTTTAGCTGACATCTGGACGATTGTAGCTTGTGCTTTTCACCTTTAACAAATCAGTTAATTTAGTTTTCAGCAAAATCCTTCAGAACTCAGCTTTCACACGTGTTTCTGCAGAAAATGCAGCCTATTTAGTTTTGTGAAAAGAAATGCATACAATTATTTTAGCTAATTTAGCTCTAGTAAGCAAAAACGTTTCTTTGACGTGCAGATGGTTCCTGATCACCTCAGCAGAGCTGCCCTGCCGTAAAGCCAGCTCCTTCCTGTAGTGCTCCACAGCCTTGCCGTGTTGTCTCAGGTCAGTGTAGGTCGCAGCCAGAGAAACGTGGATGACCGCCAGCTCCCGCGCAGGCTTCCCTATCGTTTCAGCTCTCTCCAGCTACAAGAGACGTTCAGATGCAGTGACGATTTGGAGCGAAACTTAAAACAGAACAGTTTGGTTTAACTTCTTCACCTGAGCCTGATAGGCATCCAGAGCTTTGCTGTAGCAGCCGACTTTACAGCAGAGGTCCCCCAGATGCTCCAAGAGCTCCACAGCCCGGTGGGCGCTGGCACTTTTACCCTGATCTTCCCCCAACTCTTCCTCTAGTTTACAGCCCTGGTCGGCTGTGAAAGTGTACACGTGTTAATATATATATTTTTAGAGAAACTGAGAGAAAAAGGAATTATAAATAAACACATACAGCAACAAAACCGGTCCTCTCACCATGTTTGAAAGCTCTCTTCACTGCCAGTCTGTCGGATGGCTGCTGGGAACCCATCAGGAGAACCTTTTTTAGAGATCGCCTGGCCGCTACAAAATCCCCCAGAGACAGCTGCACCTGTGGATCAACGTCACTCTAAATACACCACAAACTTTAAAACAGCCGTGACAAGCGGCGGAAGGGGTGGAGCAGCTCGTACTTTGCCGATGCAGTGAAAACATTCACTTTCACAGAACTTGTCTTTCATCTTCCTGGCGCACTCTTTGGCCTGCTCCAGGCAGCGGACAGAATTCGAGTGCTCTCCATTGCGGAAGTAGATGTTGCCCAAGTTAAAGTTTGCACGGTAGAGATCCTCTAGCAGCTGGCTCTTTCTGTCCCAGGACCAAAAACAAAGACATTTAAACGGAGCCTTTCAATAGAGAATACACTGGCGGTGGTTCCTTGTTGTATTTGGACAATAATTAGAAACGATGAGCAGGAAAAGTACTTCCTGCCTGCAGACTTGTATGAGGATATACAGCAGCTCTTACTCAGCGATAAAAACGCTGCGTCTGATGAACTCGCTGCAGCGTTTGGGTTCCCCTAGATGATCGTAGACCAGCCCGAGATTGAGGAAAAGTCGAGCCTTCATCTCCCGGATCTCTTGCTCAGACACAGTCCCTACAAGTTAACAGAAAACTTAAAAAAAACGTGACGCACCAAGCTATCATGACAAGATCATTTAAGATGTTGATCACCAAAACAAACAACACACACCACCCAGACGCTCATCCACAATGGCCAAGCTCTTCCTGAAAGCCTCCTCTGCTTGCTTTAAACTGTCCTTTGATTGGTCGGATTCGTAACGAAAGAGGTAGGTTCGACCGATGGTGGCCAGAGCTCTTTGCTCTTCAGCGTCATCTTTGACAGAACGAGCCAAGTCCAGGTGACAGCGCTGATGCTGGAGAAAACACACGCACGCATTAAAGCACGTACTAAACAGTGGAGTTATGAACATGTCAGCTAGCTTTAAACTTGACTTACTTTTAAAGCAGACTCGATGTCTCCCATCTCTGCATAGCACTCCCCTATTTTACGATTAGCCACAGCCCGTCCAATCACATCGCCCAGGACCTCGGAGAGAGCCAGCTCCTGCTGGTGCTCCCTGATGGCTGCGTCGTAATCACCTGACAGACACGCGTCAGACAATCTTTACAAACACGGGAATGAACGGTGGCACATGTCACAACTGCTAAAGTGAAAGGAAGAAAGTTAGAAAGAAGAAATCAAAGGATGCAAATGTGCTCAACTAATGAAACAGTGCAGAGACAAATATGAGAAAAGTGCATCAAACAATAAAAAGACAACAAGTCAAATATAGTAATTCATATAAATAATTAAAAACTGCATTGAGGCCAGAGACGGAATGACTCAGTTCAGTTCACTTTCTATAGCACCAACAAGTCACAACAGATGTCGTCTCAGGGCACCGAACAGAAACATTCACATACATAAAATAAGTAAATAACTTATTTATCTAATGATGAGTGCTGAACGATGCAGCTGAGATTTATTAAGAACGCTAAAATCCGAATTGTGAAATTTAGAAATCTAGCAAAACAGTAGCTAACAGCTGAAATTAGCAAAACTAGCTAAAAAATTAAAGTATGCAAAACTGTAGCTAGAAGTTCAAATGAGCAAAACAGCTTATATTAGCCAAACAGTAGTTAAAATACTAAAGCTAAAATGAGCAAAAAAAAAGTTGCTAAAATGAACCAGTTTGAAGCTAAAGGTTTAAAAGAGCAGAACAGCAGCTAAAAGGTAAAAGTGGCAAACCAGCTAAAAGTGACAGCTACAAAGTAAGCTCTATTTTAAAAACGGAACCAAGTTCGTGAGTGAAATAAACAGATCTCTATAGTTCTTTGGGAAAGAGTGAGTTTAAAAATGTCTAAAGAGGAAAACAAAGATGAAAGCTTTGAAGGAAACACACCAGTCCTGGACAGCAGCTCTCCTAGCTGGTTGCAGATGTTAGCTTCCTCCTTCAGCTTGTTGTTAGCCTGGGCCCTGCTTTTAGCCTTTTGCAGCTCTGCATTGTGAACAAAAACACTGTGGGATAAGCCTCAGCTTTTGGAACCAGTGAAACAGGTAAATAAAACAACACTTACGTTTAATTTCCTTCGAAGAGGTCATTGTGGTTTATCTGCTAGCTAGCTCGGGAGTAAAGTGCGCGCTTGTCGCCTCACAAACACGAAACAACCTCATCAGATCATCTTTCGACGTTGATTCAGCCTGTCCGCCAATGTTTACAACATGTTTATTTTTCTAATTTTGCGCGATGTCACAAAACAACATGTGTAAAAAAACTAGATAACCATCGTCCTTTTTTTATTGCGTAGAGCTCGAAGTAAACTTTGCATTATCCCGCCAGGAAAGCGTCAGCTGTGACATCTAAATCACTTTTAAACCCACAGTTTTGTCTTTCAGGTACAAACCCCTTCCTCGAAACATAAGAAAATGCTCTCACAGTTTATCATCCGTCATATATTAGCATAAACTAGATTTGTTTTATTATTTATTTTTAATTACATACAGCGTGAGAGCAAATTAATAGTCAATTTCTTCCTTAAGAGAAAGCGCAGTTAGTCTGACAGACAATACTTAGGGCAAAATTTAACAAATAGGCGTCACGTGACTGACGCTCAAGCAGTTTCAACTAGTTCTCAAAACCGACATATTTAGCAAAAGTCTAAACAAAAAGATGATAAATTCTTGTCTTATGAGCACAACAATGCATAAAGAACAAGTGTCAGGACCGGGGAAGAGAGTGCTTCCGTTGTTTTGATCACAGCGACCTCCTGTGGACGAAAAGGTAAAAACACTTTGCACACAGAGGCAGTGTTAATGAAAATATTTCTGACATTTAACTAGTGTTTACACTGAATAACATTTAACCTCTGTAGTATATAAGTAAATATTGTAAATATTAAATTCTAGTTGGTGAGAATGTTTATTTTTGGTTACTTTAAATGATACAGACATGTTTAAAAGATCAAATGACTGTAGAATGGTTAGGAGCCAGGGGGGTCAGATATTGTTATATAACCTAATGGATATCTGGTCAATACATGTTGACACTCACTATAATAATAGAGGATTTTAACATTTTACACATGCAGTTGTATAATTGTCCACTTAGGCTAACAAATAAGTTGCATAACTGAAAGACATGTCTATTAATGTTACGTTTGTCCAACATGTCTCATTTTCAGTAAGATATAATCAACTTTCTCATAATTCCAACATTTTATGTTGAGTTATGTTTTAGGAAATGATATGTAGATATATTGCAGTTTTGTCAGTATTAAATTTGCTGATAATGTTTAGCTAATTTGGATTGAAAACCAATACAAGTATTTGATCAGAAGGCATTTTCTGTACTCAGAATGTGTTTTTGTTCTTTAGTTGTAGTTGCATAAAGTCTGATTTTTTTAATGTATTTCAGTCTAAATACAAATTCACATTTTAAATATACACAACATGCTCTGGGTAGTACTTACACTTAGCTTTACTTGAACAAGCTTAAATAATCCGTGTTAAAAGTAGCAAAAATCTGACTGAACTTTGTCTGTATGTCAATATTCATGTAAGCTTTTAAGTTGATGATGTGCTGATATTATTCTTTTTTTCTACCTACAAGTTATATTTTCTTATATGAAAATTGAAACTGTAATCATAGTAGTAAAAAACAAACAAAATAGATCTTCACTTATAAGTGGGGGAGTGGTCAAGTCAAGTCAAGGTTCTTTATTTGTCATTCGCACCACATGTGGGTGGAAACAAATTATGTACACAGGGTCCCAGTTACATCCAACAAAAGTATAAATTGTAAAGAAAAACAGTAATTAAATCTAAGATATGAACTAAGAAATACACTAAGCACAAATAGTACAAAAACAATACGCCGAACAACAGCAGCACAAACATGAGTGACACATCTGACACATCACATCTGTGTGAGCAGATGAGGATGAATGAACACAGCAGCATGAAATAAATCAGCAGCATGAGATGAGCAACGTAGATAATCAGCAGCACATATTAACATTACAGTGATATTTCACAGTGATAATTCTGATTAGGGATTCATGAGTCTTAACAGCCTCAGGGTAGAAGCTGTTCCTCAGTCTAGTGGTTCTACACTTAATGCAAAAAGTGTGTGTGCTGGGTGAGTGGGGTCCTTCATGATGCAGGTGGCCCTCTTCCTGCATCTAGAGGTGTAGATGTCTGTGATGGTGGGGAGGCTGACTCCAACATTCTTCTGTGCAGCCTTCACCACTCTCTGCAAAGCTTTTCTTTCTGCAGCTGTGCAGCCTCCATGCCACACGTTGATGCTGGAGCACAGGATGCTCTCCACTGCACACCTGTAGAAGGAGGTGAGGACTGAGCTTCCCAGACCAGCTCGCCTCAGCCGCCTGAGGAAGTAGAGTCTCTGATGAGGTTTCTTGATCAGGCTGGTGGGGTTGTTGCCCCAGATGAGGTTGTCATTCATGTGTACACCCAAGTACTTGTAGCTGGAGACCACTTCCACCGCAGATCCTCCTATATTCGGGGTGTGTGTGTGTTTGTTCCTTCTGAAGTCCACAATCATCTCCTTTGTCTTCTTCACATTGATGTGAAGGTTGTTCTTCCTGCACCAGCTCTCCAGGTGTTCCACCTCCTGCCTGTAGCTGGACTCATCATTGTTTGTGACGCATCCCACCACCACTGTATCATCGACAAACTTTACAATGTGACAGCCTGGATGGGCAGCTGCACAGTCATACGTGAGCAGAGTGAACAGGAGGGGGCTCAGTACACAGCCCTGAGGAGAGCCAGTGCTGAGGGTTATGGTGGAGGAGGAGAAGTTGTGGATGCTCACTGACTGCAGTCTGTTTGTTAAGAAGTCTAGGACCCGGTTGCAAATGGAGGGGCTTAGTCCTAGTGTGAGTAGTTTGTCCATCAGGGTTTGGGGGCTCATGGTGTTGAAGGCAGACGTGAAGTCCACAAAGAGCATACGGACGTAAGAGTTTTTCTTCTCCAGGTGGTTGAGCGCAGTGTGGACAACACAGGAGATGGCATCCTCTGCTGATTGGTTCTCACGGTATGCACACTGATGAGGGTCCTTGCTGATGTTGATGGTTGTTTTGATGTGGGTCATGACCAGTCTTTCGAAACATTTAGCGACTATCGGGGTGAGGGCTACTGGCCGATAGTTATTCAGACCAGTCACTGTAGAGTTCTTTGGGACTGGGATGATGGTGGCAGTCTTCAGCAGGTGGGAACTGTCTCCAGGGTGAGAGAGGAGTTAAAGATGTCTGCCAGCACCTCGCAGAGCTGATCGGCACATTCTTTCAACACTTTCCTGGGGATGTTGTCTGGGCCGGTTGCTTTGTGTGGGGTAATCCTCCTGAAGTACTCCTTACTTCTGCTGAGGTCACGCTGAGAAGCTCTTCATCCGGTGGTGAGGTGAGTCTGGTGCTGGGTGGTCTGTTCAGGTCTTCAGAGCGTGCATAGAACTTGTTGAGAGCATCAGGCAGTGATGGGTCTTTGGGGCATTGTTTGCTCTTGCCTTTATAATCTGTTATACACTTAATGCCCCTCCACATGCTCCGTGGGTCTTGTGAGGTGAATTGACCCTCGATCCTCAGTGCAAATGTGGCCTTGGCCTTCTTAATACCAACAACCAGCTCTTTCCTCGTCCTTCTCAGCTATAGTTATATAGTCAGTTATAAGAGATTATTTTAGATAATTAAACAAATAAAGATCATACAAGTTGATTTTTACCTGCAATGTTTTTTTTCAAAATGGCTTACATGAAAGCTTTTAAGTTATTTTTCAAGGTACAGAAAACTAAGACAAGACAAAATAAGAAAAAAAACACAAGTGTGAAATAAAACTTTATTACTCAGTGTGGGATTCACTGAGCTGTTGATAATCTGTGTTATATATTTGTCTCGGTCAGTGGTTCAATTGTAAACAAGGATCCACAGATCCAAATAAACAAATAAACAAACAATGCTATAGAATTACTCAGACCAATATTTAGGCTGACGTAGTTGCAGCTAACCCAAATTCATGATCTTATAATCCAGCGGTTAAAAAAAGGGCGACACGTGGCCAGGCGGATGTTGACGTCAGCGAGGAGACGTTGACTGGCCCGTTCAGAGCGACGGCACGTTTTTGACAAACAAACAGTATTACAGGCTGTTGCCTGTCACTGAATTAAATAAACACTTTATTTGAATGAGGCCAACATGTGGCGATGGTTAGATTGCATTCTGTGAACTAATAATAATAATAATCAAACAATAAAAAAGATATATCCATGCTTCATGTCTAATGATGTTGGTTTAAAGGAATGTGATTTAAAGTCTGTGTCGGTCCAATAGATGTAAGAATCACTGATTTAAAAAATATATTTCTCACTATTTGTGAACACAGTGAAAAACAACAGAGCAGGCAGCAACAGAAACAGCTCATCTGGCATTAAATCAACTAATAGAAGTGCATCTCTCTCTCTCTCTCTTTCAGATTAACAGAAGGAGCTGAGAAGCTCCAGCTCACACCAAGCTCCTTCTCCTCAGCCTCTCTACATGTGTATTTCCAGACGGGTGACCTTACAAATGAGCATGCCGCATCACTGTGAGATTTGGTGTTTTGGGGCGGTGCAAAGTGGAGTAGAGTGCATGAGAGTGCAGGGTATCTGAGCGCAGCAGAGCGCAGAGAGGCAGGCACATCCGCCGCTGGAGGGATCAAATCTGTACCATCTGACGCTCAAGGATTTATGGGTTTAGTCAAAATTGCTTTTCCCACTGTGGAGATTAAGCACAGTGGGATGTTTTCCTCCCGGGCCGTAGAATAGCCGGGTGGAGCTGCTGCTGTTTCTGTGTCTCTCCCTCTTTATCAGCTCCGGCGCTGGAGGAGAAAGAGGGAATGTCTCAGGAGGGCACGGTGCTTCAAACCCCTGGCGGGAAGTAGATTGTGATTGACAGGAGAGGTCCGTCCTCTGGGGAATGTGAAGCATGCAGGTGGATACAGTCTTTGTGCTCCTGTGTGTTTGGCTCGCTGCTGCAGCCGGGAAGACGGTTCAGCCGAGAGGTCACAAGCTGGAAACCTACAAACAAAGCAGGTAACACACTCAGCATATATATATATATATATATATATATATATATATATATATATATAGACTTGTAAAAGTTCTGCTTCTTGTTGGGACTTGATTTATCTCCTGGAGATGTTGCTCCCAGGTGCGCTCAGTCACCTCCTGTTTCCTGTATCACCTGTATCCCCCCCCATTCTGAAAACAGGCAGCAGACTGGAGCGATGAGAGAGGGAGACCTAAATCTCCACATCTATTTATGTACTACGAGCGGATGCTGTGTTCTCCTGCCCCACAACTGCTGCGGGGCACTTCATGACCGTTTTCCCTGCCGGCTGCAGTCAATGTCATTTTCTGCTGATTATTTAGGCTAATTGCTGCCTCGTTAATGCGGGCATTAAGTTAGTTGTTGTAGTTTTAGTGCCGGAAGTGGATGTGACAGTCAATAAAACGTTCTTGTTCTGCTTATAATTGATTTGGCCTCTGTAGGAAGTGATCGATACGGAGGATTGTTTGCTTCTGACGTGTGTGCAGCTGGAACAAAAAGAGAAAACTAGAAAAGTGGGAAGTATTTGCTTTTAAAGACTAATGACGTGAATTGTTTTTGAATGTATTAATCCTGTCAGAGAGTACAGATTACTGGATGTTTTGTTGCTGCTGTTAGGAGTAGAGGAAATATGCGAAGGTGCAGAAAAAGAAGCTGATTGATCAGAAAATGATCTGTTCTTCGTTTTTAGTGTCAAATCTGAATGAGGCGAGTCCATTCAAACACACCTGAAATGACAACTTTAATTTTTAAGCCTTTTGTCTACAACACCATCAGCTGGGTGTTTGCTTCTTCAGTGATAATTACATAGTGGCAGCTAATTATTATTATTTAATAATGAAAAAGTCAAACACTGTCAGAAAACCCACCTTGAAGCATTGAAAGTCCTTGTTTTGTCCGAACAATTAGCCACTAATTCTCTATAAATTAGGAGCAAAAGTAGATTTTTTTCCCCACATCTAATAGCTAAAATCAGATTTGTTTGTAAAGGTTGACAAACAGTTGCAGTGATTAATCAGTTTTTAAAGCATTGTTGAATAGTTCACACAGTTGAGTGAAGCAGGGCGTTGAACATTTAAGTACAAAGATTATTTTCTTGAAGATAATGTTCTTTTTTTAGCAGTAACCACCCAAAAAACTGAAGGTTTTGATACTGCAATGAGTAGAGAATGCTATAAAACTCAGTGTACGGTCATTTTGAACACACTCTGAGTATTCTGTATAAATAAAGGTTGAATGAATGAATTATTAAGTCACTGTTTGACAATCGGCGCTGCTAAAGCTCACTCAGTTCAGTTTTCCTCTGCATGTTGCTCTCCTCCTACTTCCTGTTCATGTGAAACAAACAGACAAATAAATTCTATGTTACATTTAGAAACGTGACTTTTTCAACTGTATTCACTTTAAAATCCCTGGGATCAAGTTTAGAGAGTCCTACAGTTAAGACTTGCAAAATTCAAAATTTCAAATGGAAATAATGGCAATAAATTGTATTTTACAAGAATAAACCTCAAATTTTAAATATTGAAGGTCAGTCCTTAACAGGGATTTTAAAAATAGGTGTGAGAAATACATTTTAGAACATTTTTTACCAAACCCTAAAAATGATCAACTATCTCAGCTGGACATGAAGAGACACAAAAAGAGTAACGTGTTAAATGTTTGTTCATAATTTTGGTAAAAAACACAAATTACTGATTTTTTTTTCTTGTATTTGTTTAATGTAGATATAATGACAAAAAAAAAGCCAAAATAACAATCAAAATATTTGTGAGTAGTTTTCTTTAGAGTTGTTAGATGTTGGACATTTTCAGAATATAAATGTAGAAATTTCAATATTTGTAATATACATTTGTGTGTGTGTGAAAACACTACAAAAAAACTAAATGTGATGTGAATATTTTTGTCCAAAGTTGTGTATATAAATTTTAAGCAGGACCACAACAACAAATAATGAGAGATGTGTAGAAATGATTAAAATTTATAGTTTTTTTATTTTTTAAGTTGCACAGTTGTGACACAGTGAGGACTTTAGTGATGTCATCATGTTCTAATTATGCCAATAAATTAGTACACTTTACATCAAACTCATTATTTTTCTTGGACAAAACTGAGTGTTTGTATTTTTGCTTGGATATAATGCAGCTTGTTTAAACTACCCTCAACTTCCAATTATTTATCATAAGTTCCCATAATTCCTATGGAAAGGGTTAGATTAGGAATATTCTGAAAATTTCACAGCTTCATGAGAGTTTCTGTAAAGTTTTTGGAAATGTTCCACGTCTTTATGACTCCATCTACTGTGTTCACTTTTAAATTTAAGTAATCTGACATATTTTGTTTGACACTGAAAGTTTAGAAGTCCTTTCAGATCATGTAGAAGTTTATATAATCCAGTTTAATTAATTTGTTCTTTCCTTCCAAATTACATATTTTTCCAGTTTTTTTCTTCTCCAGAACTTTACATTTAAAGCTGTAAAAACATTTATTTAAAACAATGCAAACAGTAGAAAAAAATGGCATAAAAAAAATCAAACATTTCTACACTCAAAATCAGATTTCACCAAAATTTCATGCAGATTTTATACTTTTCACTCGCAGTCATTTATTTGGCAATGAAGACACCAAAATAATTATTTTTATAAATATTTTAATATTAGGTTGATCTTATGACTGAATGTCTTATTTTTTTAAACGGTGCAGCATTTAAAAAAATATATATTTTCAATGTCTTAGTTCAGCACAGCTTATTAACTTTCAACATTTGATCCAGTGTTGAAACTGCGACAGATGCTCAACTTTTCACTACAGAAAGTTGTGCATGGTGGATCCAAAACAACATTTTCTGCTCTCCTTTCACTTTTCTACTTTGCTTTTATGTATAAACATAATTAAAAGTAAAAAATAAAATAAAGAAAGAAATAGATTTCAAGTACCATAATGTCCAGAATATTGAGCGCACCTGAATATGATCTGCAACAACTACATTTAAAAGGAAAAATCTTTTGTGCATGTATAGACCACACTTATCTACAAACTATGGGTGTCCACACTGTGACATGAAATATTTACACAGAAAGATTAAAAAAAAATATTCAATCAAACACTGTAGCATGGCAGTACACAGTTGCAGAGAGATGTGCAGCTCTTGTAGATTGAGTCATCCACCAGATGGTGTTTCATAGATGTTATCTTGTTGTTTAACACAAACAGACAGAGTGAACCCCACAGGTCTTCATGACAATGACCTCCCTCACTCATGGTTACTCCACTGAATCATCTAACACAAACTAACACATAATGAACACATAGACTAAGCTAAGAAGAATATATTAATCACTAAAAGAACAATGCTAAACAGCTAACTGTAATGATAACAGTGAAAGTAAATTCTACCCACAATCCCTCCCTGAGGCCATGTAACTGACTGAAATCCCCCCCCCCCCGGTGGACCAAGGAAGCCAAGGCTCCCACATAATCGTGCATATTTCACTCCGTGGAGGTCCGTGCCTACTGGAGGCAGACTTCAACGCGGACTCGAAGCAGACGTCCACAAACCATGTCCGCGCAAAGATCAATTTTTATGACCCCGTACTCGGTGTCACACGATAAACTGTCCGGCGATGGACCGTTTTGTATGCGACACCAATGTATTAATTCCCCTTCTGCATCCCTGGTCTGGTTTAATGGCCTTTTCTTTTTTTTTTTGCCCAGAGGCAAGCAATCTCTTCCTCCTCATTACAGCTGTCATTTCTACCCCGAACCCAGAGCCCAGCACTGCCTGACCTGGATTAGGGCTGGGCGGGTCCATAATAATGTGCTTAATATGCGGGCCTGGTCTGGCTTTTGATTGTGTCAGTGGATGCTCGTGACTGACGATCCAGTTATATGGCAACATGGCTTGCCATACAATCACCTGCCGCACGCGGCCATTTCACCGCGTGCTAACCAGCCTTGAAAGAGGTAAAATGTTCAGTTAAGTTTCAGATGGACTACTGCCAGTGATCTATCAAAATCCAAATAGACGTTCAGCCACTGCATTCAGCAGACGCGTGTGGCTGATGACCCAAACAGGTGAGCTCACACATCTGACATCTCAGAGCAGAGTCCAATGCAGGCAGAAGCAGGGGAAGCATTTAATGCGCTTTGACGGCCATGAAAGGACAAACACCCCCTCAGCTCTGATCTTCTGCCCCTTTCATTCAGCCGTGTGTGTCTGTCGACTGTTAATAACTATATAAGTAGTCAAAGCTTAATTAAAAATGTCAGTGGGGTTTTCGGGTTCGGACCTGTAATTACTGTTAATTCGTCAGATCGGGTGGAGTTCGGAAATGATGGCTACGGGCTGGGGCCGGGTCGGGTCTGATCTTTTGGCCCAAATGCAACGCTACTCCTCGTTCGTTGACGCCATGACTGAAATTGTGAGAAATTAAGGAATTTTTCAGGAGATAATTAAAATCAGGCCTGGCGTGACTAATCGTGAGTTTGGAGATTTCCCAGTGGGCTGGTCTGATGTGTGGGCTGCAGGGCCAGCGCTCCCTGTTTTGTTATTTCTATAACATTTTATTTAACAACATATAAACACAGAACACTGCTGCTGCTCCTGGGCTGCCAGCTGCCTCTACCCAAGGCCGCCCGCAGCTCTAGTTCTTTTTTTTTGCGACCTGTAAATCAATCCAATCGGTGTGTCAGCAAATGACCAATCGGTGACCTCAATTTGTCCCGAAGGTATACGCCCCTTGCCTGCGGAGCTGGTCTGCAGCCCATCAGGGTCTCAACCATCTGCAGACAGTGCGCGTGGAGTCCGTGTGGCTCATAGAGTACACACAGTACACCAGAGTATGTGGAAGCCTTACGGCAGCTATGTGAGTGCCTGGGTGTGCCGAGGATAAATCTTTTAGCAACATAAAGCTTTATAGCCTGTCAAAAAAATAAATTCATAAATTAGCCTCAGCATTGTATACGCTGCGGAGTTCCAAGC